AATCACTCCTGGTGGTGCTTGGGGCAACCATATGGGATGCTGGGAATCAAACCCGGGTCGGCCGTGTGCAAGGCAAACACCCTACCCGCTGTGCTATCACTCTAGCCCCGAATGTGGGAAATTTTTTAGACACAGTTCACTTCTTTGCCATCAGAAACTTCAAGCTTGAAAATATGATGGGATGTAACTGGCATGGAAACGCATGAAAATGGCATTTCTTCCCCCATAAATTCTTAGGGCTTCTCGGGTGTGGATCCGCTGGTGCTGGATAAGAGCTGATCTCGGAGTAGAGTTTTCCACAGTCACTGCACTTTGAAGGTTTTTTCTGCATCCTCACTTTCTGATGTTTCCTTTGCAGTGAGGTCTGACTGGAACTCATGGTGTGTGAAACATTTCCTCTCAGTTTAAAACTCGGTCTTCTGCTAGGATGAATATATGTTAAGCAAAAGGTCATGTATTCTGAAAGAAAATAGACTTCAGGGGCTGGAGCAATAGTGTGGGGGTTAAGATGCTTGCCTTACACCACCTGACCCAGTTTGATCCCTGGCACCAAATATGGTGACCCAAGCACTGCAGGAATAAGCCTTCAAAACAGCTGGGTGTGTCCCGATCATTCCCACCCTTGCTGAAAAAAAAAATGACTTTAGAATGAAATAGCCTTGAGTCTGATGTTGTCGCTGGATGGTGATGGTATAAAATCTTACCTCAATTCTCTCCATCTCAAATCCCACCATGAATAATGGGATATACAATAATGAAGACACTGAGATTGTCTTAAAAATAAAATGTTAACATAAAGAGCTTCCACAAATAATTGCTTTTGAGTTAACAAATGTCCCAAAAATTTATATCACTCACACACACACACCCCAAACATACACTATACCATTAGTTTTTCCCTCATAGTGTATTTTTCCTTATGGGTTGTCTTGGTAATTTTATTCTTGACCTACAGAAACGTGTGTGTTTAAATATAAATGTTTTTGGATTATACCTGGCTCTGCTCAGTGATCACTCCCAAGTGGTGCTCAGGGATCAGATGGGGTGTCAGAGATTGAACCTGGCTTGGCTGAGTGCAAAGCAAGCACCATACTTGCTGTACTATCTGGTCCTACAGAAGGTTATTTGGATATTTGAATTTTAATACCTATATTTTCATTTTGTTTATAGGTCACACCTGATGGTGCTAAGGGCTTACTCCTGGCTCTGCACTCATGAATCACTCCTAGCAGTACTCCAGGGACCACATAAGGTGACAGGGACCGAACCCATGTTGGTGTAGGGAAGACAAGTGCTCTGCCCATTGTACTATCGCTCTGGCCCTAATACTTGTATTTTTAAGAGGAGAATACTGCCAAGTCTCCCCCCCCCCCCAACACACCCAGTAGAAAATAAAAAGGAAAATGTAAGGGTCAGCGATGTAACTTAGTGGTTGAGGACAATGTATGAATGAGACCGGGGTTCAATCCGACATAAGTAAATGAATGCATTAACTAATAACAAGAACACAGTGTAGGATCAGTTTGTCTTTGAAAATAACTCAGATTAACCAAAGAAAGAAAAAGGGATCTGAGTTAATAGGTTTTATGAAGTATGTCTCTACTCATTTGTATTTTTTTTTTTTTTTTTTGCTTTTTGGGTCACACCCAGCGATGCACAGGGGTTACTCCTGGCTCTGAGCTCAGGAATTACCCCTGGTGGTGCTCAGAGGGCCATATGGGATGCTGGGAATCGAACCTGGGTTGGCTGCCTATAAGGCAAATGCCCTACCCGCTATGCTATTGCTCCAGCCCCCTCATTTGTATTTTGAGATCTATTACAGGAAGATAATCTAACACTTTGTTTTATTGTTTTTTCTGGTTTTTTTTTTTTGGGGGGGGGCTACACCCAGTGATGCTCAGGCGACTTCATGGTATACTGGGGCTCAAACCCAGGTCAGTCTTGTGCAAGGCAAGTGCCTTACCTGCTGAGCTATCTCTCCAGTCGCCGATAAATGTTTCAGTCCCTGCTTTTTGCAGCACAACGAAAAATCCTGTAACCTTCAGGAAGCACTACAACCCTGGTCATTACAATGAAAGGGTAGGAGGAAAACCAGTTGTCACTGTGGAATATTGTAAAACAGTGCTGGCCATGAGGATTGGCTTTCACAGCAACGAAAAAAAATTGAGAGGTTGATATAGAATTACCTTTTAATCATTTTTAACTTTTTGTGGTAAGGCCCTCCCGTTGATCGTCGATTTGCTCGAGCGGGCCCAGTAACGTCTCCATTGGAGACTTTGTTGTTACTGTGTCTGGCATATCGAATACTCTCGGTAGCTTGCCGGGCTCTCCGAGAGGGGCGGAGGAATCGAACTCGGGTTGGCCATGCTGGCCGCTTGTAAGGCGAACGCCCTACCGCTGTGCTATCGCTCCAGCCAAAGGTAAAGGCCCTCCCGTTGATCATCGATTTGCTCGAGCGGGCCCAGTAACGTCTCCATTGGAGACTTTGTTGTTACTGTGTTTGGCAAATCGAATACGTCATGGGGAGCTTGCCAGGCTCTGCCATGCGGGCGAGATACTCTCGGTAGCTTGCCGGGCTCTCCGAGAGGGGAGGAGGAATCGAACTCGGGTCGGCCATGTTGGCTGCATGCAAGGCAAACGCCCTACCGCTGTGCTATCGCTCCAGGCTGGAGCAATAGCACAGCAGGTAGGGTGTTCGCCTTACAAGCGGCCAACATGGCCGACCCGAGTTCGATTCCTCCGCCCCTCTCGGAGAGCCCGGCAAGCTACCGAGAGTATTCGATATGCCAGACACAGTAACAACAAAGTCTCCAATGGAGACGTTACTGGGCCCGCTCGAGAACTTTTTGTGGTAAGAACACTTTTTTTTTTTTGAGCCACGTCAGTGGTGCTCAGAGCTGCGGCTTGGAAGACACATGGAGTATCAAACTCAGGCTGCATGCAAGACAAGTCACCTACCGGTTGTACTAGCTATAGGCCCTGAGATCTATTCTCTTGACAAAACTAAGGGTAATGTTATTGTTGATTTAAAGTAATAATGTTAAACCAGATCTCTAGGGTATATTAATCTTGTTTCACTGAAGTTTATGTCCATTGATAACTCCCTATTTACAAATCCTTAACTCTGTTTCAGGTACTATTCTAGTCTTTGATTCTAAATTCATTTTAGATATCTCATATAAGTAACACCATTTTTTGTGACTTATTTCTGTTATCAAATTTCATCCATGTCACATTATAGCTATGTTATCAAATAAATAACATTTTCTTTAGACCTGAAACACTAAGTTTGTGATTCAGCACAGAAGTCCTGAAAAATCTGCATTTTAAAGTTCCCAGGTCCTGGATCCACACCTGGGGAAAACTCTGCTCAATTAAGGTTCAATCCAAGTCCCTTTGTCAAAACTGGCACATCCCACCTCTAGGAACTAAGACCTTAAAATTTACAGTGATTTTGATGATGCAAGTGCAATCATTTTTTCAATATTAAAACCATAAACATTAACACTTGTAACCACAGTATTTAAACTGAAATTTTAAAAAATTTCTGTTATAAGTTTTTTTTATAATAACTAAAACTGTGATATTGACATAAGAATATATAAACAATAAAGGTTAGGGAAAAACTTGGCTCATAGAACACATTAAAAATAGCATGGAGATGAAGGACAAGGGAAAGTAAGTGATTCTGTATTGGACACAGATTGGAAACAAAAATATCATGAAATTAAAAATTAGCAAGGAAAATATAGAAAATGAATAAAAAGTTAATCCAAGAAATGGCAAAAAAGCTTCACATTTGAAAGTTTAGCCTCTTTGGTATATAACGAAAAACAATTAAGTTGGACTGTTAAACACATAAAGGCTAGTGTCATTCCAAGGTTGGTACAGTTATCAAGGAAGAGGTGAAGGGGGTTCCTCTACCATGTAAATGAATGTGTGTATTGGTGGGGGGGGGGGGGTGGAGGGAGGGACTCTCTAGAAAGCATTCTGAGCTTGTTTGGAGGTTCTAGCAGGGGAGTCCAGCTACTCGTATACCCTCGACCGAAGACCGGTCCGTCTCTATTCGGGGAAGGCCGTCCTCTTCGACCGAGCGCGCAGCTTCGGGAGGGACGCACATGGAGCGGTGAGGGAGGAAGGGGACACCCACCTAGCCAGCCAGATCAGCCAAATCAAGCCTGGCGATCAATGGGGGTGACAGATGTCGCAGCCAGATCGCCCTCACATCCTAGAAAGCATTTTGAATGTAGACTGATACCAAAGTTTAAAAAAATATTCAAATGTTTTTACCCAGTAATTCTGATTTCAACAGTTCATTCTAAAGAAATCATCAGAACCATCTGGACAAGTGGCTAGCTGCTTTCCTTTGGCCTAAACATAGCTCCAATATTCCTAGGTTTCAGCTCTATGCTCTACACAAGAGAAAGGTCATGTTTGCTAACTTACCTGTTTTTGTATAGAAAAACCCAGTAGGTTCTTAAGTTAGCAAAATTAAGCCAACTACCTGATAGTGACTCTTTTATACATTAAAATAGAGCCTCAATTCTATCAGGATCCTTCGTGTTAGATCCTTACTCATACAAGAGCCACTTGTCTCTTGTGGCAGTTCTGCTAATGAGGATGATACAGAGGGGGGCCTGTTTAATTACAAATTCTCTGTAGTTCGGAATTTTACTGAACCAGGGTAATGCCCACAACATAATGTCAAACAAGAAGCAGGAAAACATAATCTCAACTTTGTTTAAAAAAAAAAAAGCATAAATTTACTTATATAATTACACCAGGAAGTATCAAAATACCAATGTTTGGCCTAGAGTTATAGTACAGGTAGGGTGTTTGCCCTGGCACCACATATGGTTCCCTGGGCCCCATCAGAGATGATCCCTGAGTGGTGCTGAGCAGAATTAAGACCTGAGCACTGCTGCATGTGGCCCCATACAGAAAACAAAAAATCAATACTTAACATCAACAGTTGTCATTGTTACTTCAGGTCAAGGGGGTATTGTAGATAACTTTTTACTAATTTTTTTCCTGTATTTTTAAAGTTTTCTGTAATGTCTTTTCTTTATAATAGGAAGAAATGCTATTTTTAAAAAGCTCCTCATATATTCTAAAGAGGATTTAAGTCCAAAACACTTAAAATTATTCATTTTCATCTTCATCGCCAAAAGAAAGGAGACTACTGTTTTTGACTTGTTTTTCTGAGTTCTTTTTCACAGAGTCCGGCTTATTGACTTCATCTTCATTAGTCTTCTTCTTTTTTGAGCTTGCTGTTAAACCACAGTTCTTTCCATCTGAGGAACGCTTGGCTGGCTTTCGGTACATGATTCTCCCATCAGCAGAAGCTGGTTCTTCATCTGTAGGAAAAACAAGAGTTAAAGAACTTTCTTTTCATTATTTTGCCTTTATCAAAAGTGTTCAATGGCAAGAAAATCTCATCCTGCAGCCAAGGATATGCTTGCATCAATTCAGTTTGGCCTTCTCCAAAGACATGCAGTAGCTAGGAGAAATTCACTGACTGAAGCATTAAGGAACTGACAAACCCAACTAGTGTGTTTTCAGGTGGGGGCCGTGTGTGTGTGTGTGTGTGTACTTGGGGGTTTGGACCATACTTGGGTGTGGATGTATGATTTTGGGGAGAGGAGGTTGGAGACATACCTGGAGGTGCTCAGGGGCTATTTCTGATTCCTTGCTCAGGCGAGACTTCAAGAAGTGCTCAGAGGATTATATGTGGAGTTCAGCACTCAAAATGGGATTGGCCATCAGCAAGTAAAGTACCTTAAGCCCTGAACAATCTTTTCAGCACCCAGGTTGTTTTTGAAAAGTGTGTTGAAAAAATGGGGCCAGAGAGATAGTACAGTGAGTAGGGTGCCTAGCACATGGTTGAATTAGGATTGGTTCCTAGCATCATATTTGGTCCTTTGAGCACTTCTAGGAATGATCTCTAAGTGCAGAGTCAGGAGTAAGTTCTGAGCACTGCATGTGCAGCCCAAAATAAAGTAAACAAAACAAAAAGAGAAGCAACTGTCTAGAATTCCAGCATTTCCTCCTAAACCAATATTTAGTGATATGAAAAATGTACATAATAGCATATTATATTTCAGGTGTTAATTAGATCTTTGGTGAGAAGTTTGTAAACCTAGCCACCTTTAAAAAAAAGATTTAAAATTAAATTCACTCTTCTTTAGGGGTTAGGGCACAGGGAATGCTGGGTCACACCTGGTGTTATTGGGCTTACTCCTAGCTCTGTACTCAAGGATCATTCCTGGCAGACTTGGGGGACCAAATGGGGTGCCAGGAATCAAACCGGAGTTGGCCATGTGTGCAAGGCAAATGCCCTACAACTGTAGCATCTCTTTGGCTCCTAAAAGTGAATTCACTTAAAAAAATTAATTCTTGGGGCTGGTGTAATAAGTACAGCACATGCGGCTGACCCATTTTCGATCCCCAGCATCCATTATGGTTCCCCAAAGTACTGCCAGGAGTAGTTCCTGAGCGCAGACTCAGGAGAAACCCCTGATCATCAATGGGTGTGGCCCCAAAACAAAAAAAAAAACAAACAAAAAAATTCACTCAATCTTCATAATAATCCAATAAAGATAATATGATTATTGCCCCCAGTTTCTATAACAGAGGCCAAGAAGTAAAATGCTTTGGTCATGGCCACATACTTGATTAAATGTTAAAGCCCAAATATGAATCTAGGACTAGCTTCTTCAAAGACACAACAAAATGAATCCTTTTTTAATGGGGGTGTGTTTGTGGGGGGGAGGGATTCAGGTGTGGTTTTGGGCCACACCCAGCAATGCTCAGGGGTTACTCCTGGCTATACACTCAGAAACTACTCCTGGTGGTGCACTAGAGACTATATGAGATGCCAGAGACTGAACCCAGGTCGGCTACATCCAAGGCAAGCCCCCTACCCACTTTACTATCTATCCAGCCCTAAATACCTGCATTGGCAGCCTTTATTTCTGCTTTAATTTTCATGACTTCTTCAGCTGACAAGTCTCCCTTTTTTAAAACCACCACTTGGGGTTGTTCATCTTCTTTGTCACTTTGATCACCATCTTCATCTGGGAGCTGAGGCTGGATTCTCTAGGGGGAAACACAATACCATGTATTTGTTGACCTTCAAATAAACATAACCACTGTCTCTGTGAGAAACTGTTATTATTAAAATGAGCAGATGGGGGCTGGGATGAAAGGTATACAACCAAACTGTTTTTACACATTATTAAAATATTTGTTTCTGGGCCGAAGCAACAGTAAAGTGGGTAAGGCACTTGCCTTCCACGGGACTGACCTAGGTTTCATCTCTGGCACTCTATATGGTCCCTCAAGCCCTGCAATCAGTGATCCCTGAGTGCAGAGCCAGAAGAGCTGAGCACTGCCAGGTGTGACTCCAAATCACCAAAAAGCCCTTGTTTTTTCCTCTCCAACATCGCCTTCCTTGTTTCCTCACAAAGGCAGGAACCCCCTGAAAGCTGGCACTCGTCAGAACTACAGCTTTCTGTCTTATGGCTTCTATACTAAAGGCATGTTTGACAGCTGAAGATCCATGAACTTGGCTTCTAGCTTCTTGGCCTCACCTGTCTTTGAACAAGTTCCCAGTGTCCCTGAAGTCACCTAACAAACACACCAGCTTACGGCTCATATCCCAACTCCAACTCAAGCTACTTTCTAGACCAGTGTTATTGAACATTTCTACACCTTGATCAGGCACCCGTCCTGCATACCCATCTGTGAGCCGGCAGTCACAACCAAGGCAGTAGGTTGGTGGTTTTTCACCTTTTTACACCTATGGACGCGGATCGGTCCAGGGACCAGTGGTTAAAGATCACTGTTCTAGACTGACATTCTCTACAAGTCCTTACTAGACTCTGTCATCAGTGTTTCTGTCACCTAGGAGAGACCTTCTGAGAGCTACTCTTGCTCCAATTTTGTACCTAGGAGTCTGGCAAGTAACGTGGACCCAAGAAATATTTATCAAGGGGTCAGAGAGATAGAATAGTGGTTAAGACACTTCCTTGCACACAGATGACTGGGTTAGACCCTTGGACCATGTAAGTTCTCCTGAGGACCACCAAGAGTAATCCTTGAGCACAGAGCCAGAAGTAAGCTCTAAGCACCGCCAGGTGTGGCCTCCCCAACCAAAAAAATGTTAATCTACTTATGAAAGATATGAATGACAAACGGTTGAAAAATGATGAAATCCTGGCCAAGTCTATCCAATAACTGAACACAAGTAAGTAATTAGCAAGTACAGGGGTAGGGCACTTGCCTTGCACGTGACCAACCAGGTTTAATCACCTCATACGGTCCCCCAGTCCTGCCAGAAATAGACCCTGAGTACTGCAGGATGTGATCCAAGTACCAAAATGACAAAAGAGTCCCTAAGTATTTTTAACAAAGGATATGGGAAAGTGATCTTGTTAATTCCACTAACCAACTAGAAAACAATCCCAGTGACAGACACTGAGGTCAGTTCAAAGCTACTTCTGAAATAACTCTCAAGGCAAATAAGATGATTTAGCATATGTAATGTTTCACATGAATGATGATTTTACTGATAAATTTATTAAGTATAGTTTCTCAAACACAACACAGGGTATCTCTCTATGGAAAAGTTTTGACTAAATAAGCCCAAATCATTGATTTTAACTGGAAACCCTCCTTACCCAAGGATACTACTTATTTCTACAGTATAATCTTCAAAGTGCTTAACTATGCACATATACTCATCACTAGGGCCTAACCTCAAGCAGACTTAAAAATAGACCCCAGGGGCTGGAGTGATAGCACAGCGGGTAGGGCGTTTGCCTTGCACACGGCTAACCCGGGTTCAATTCCCAGCATCCCATATGGTCCCCCAAGCACTGCCAGGAGTAACACTACATCACTGGTGTGACCCAAAAAGCAAAAAAAAAAAAAAGACCCCATATTCTCCTCGATGCTGTATTCATGTCCTTCTCAAACTTCATCCACTACTGATTTTAGTCCTGGGGAAGTCACTCAATTTCTTAATATCATGAACCAATTTTGGCTTCCTGTTGCTTAGTAAGCAGTCCATATGGCATCACCTCCATCAGTTCGTCAGTCACCTCTATAGACAGGCCACAACTCACTATTTCCGCTTCTTCCCTAGGGATGTTCCTTCAGCTTGGCCTACTAACCAATCCGTGCTCAAGGTCGAATGTATATCGTTGCTCTGTGGAGACTTGCCTGATGATAAGCATGGTCATATAACCCATACACATGCTCACAGCTCATGTACCATTTGGTACTAGCCACTGTGCTACATGCTAAGAAAATACAGTATTATGAAATGAACTCAGTTCAATTTGGCAGTGAAGAGCCACAGGAGCATATAACTGCAATACAAAATAATGAATTTTTCAGATACAATATGGAAAAAGTGAAGAAAATAACAAAGACGACTATTTTGTATATGATACGGGAAAAGCAAAGAAAAAAACAAAGCAGTAACTTTTGGACGAGTGTGTGGTATGCTTCAAAGATCTTAAAAGATCAGGTGACCTGTGAAGGCAGATATGAGGCAGGCCAAGAAGTATCAAAGATGTCAGGGACCAGAGAAATTGTATAGTACATACGGCACTTTGCACAGCAGCACATAATGGTCTCCTGCGCACTGCTGGGTGGAACCCAAAAACAAAACAATTCAACATTTTGGGGAATATGGTGCCACCGTCTTCTTCGTGCAAAATTCTACCTCACAGAACGAGGAGAAAAGAATGCAAGGTTTAAGAAGAGGACTCCCAGAACGACCACCAATTGGGAGCTCTTTGGCTCTGTTGCGGCAACATGGGAAGATGCCGTCATTGACAACATTGATGAGGAATACGATCGAATGATTCAGCACCTCCATGATTGTGCGAGGAATGCCAAGAGAGAGATAACCACAAAAAACCGCCTTTCTTTGAACACTCTTGAACTTATTCGCCAACGTGGCTTGGCACATGCCTCAGGCAACCACAAGCGAACATCCGAACTGGCAAAACAGTGCAGAGAAGCCATCAAGGATGACCTCAAAAACAGGAGAGCAGCAGTACTGGTAGATGCGGCAGAAGCTGGGAAAAGCATTCGTAATGCCCGCCTGTCCTTCACCAACTACAAAACCAAGATGACTGCCCTCCAACATCATGATGGATCTATCACATCTTCCAGAAGGGCAATGGAGAAGATTATTCATGACTTCTACTCAGATCTCTTTAATAGCCACGTCCACTTGCCCACATACCACATGATGGATATGTCGTTCCCAATGTTCTCCCTTCCGAAATCCAACATGCCATCTCGTCAGTAAAGAAACAAAGAGCACCTGGCCCAGACAAGATCAGACCTGAACACCTGAAGAACTTACCATCAGTACTCATCAATACATTGGCTTGGCTCTTCACACGCTACCTGTCTGAATGCAAGGTTCCATCCCAATGGAAAACCAGCAGGACAGTACTACTATACAAGAAGGGAGACATCCACGACATTGGCAACTATCGCCCAATCTGCCTATTGTCTGTCGTCTACAAACTGTTCACTCGAGTCATCCTGAATAGGATTAGCAGAACACTAGAAAAAGGACAACCATGTGAACAAGCCGGATTCCAAAAAGGATTCAGTACCATCGACCATATCCACACGATTACTAAGCTCATTGAGGTTTCTCAGGAGTTCAAGATGCCGCTCTGTCTATCGTTCATTGATTTAAAGAAGGCCTTTGATTCTGTTGAGACGGAAGCGGTCATGGAAGCCCTAGCCAATCAGGGCGTACAAACTCAATACATCAGGATCCTTCGTGAGCTCTATTGCGGATTCACTACCAAGATCTCACCATTCTACAAAGAAGTAATCATCCATATCAAGAGAGGGGTTCGGCAGGGTGATACCATTTCACCAAAACTCTTCAGTGCCACCCTCGAGAACATCATGCGACGACTGGAATGGGAAAGCATCGGAGTGAAAATAGATGGTCGGCAACTACACCACCTCCGCTTTGCTGATGACATCATTCTAATAACACCAAACATCAGCCAAGCGGCACAAATGCTCGACTTTGACCATGAATGTGGAAAGGTCGGACTACAGCTGAATCTTACGAAGACAATGTTTATGAGAAACAGCCTTGTTCCTGACGCTCCATTCGCTCTCAATGGAACCACCATCTCCGAATAAAACAGTTATATATACCTTAACTTAACTTAACTTAACTTCCCGTTAGTCGTCGATTTGCTTGAGCGGGCGCCAGTAACGTCTCCATTTGTCCCTGTCGCGTGCTAGTGTAGCCCAATGGCATCTGTTCGCTCCGGGAACATGAAGGGCCTCAAACCGATCGTTCATGATCTTCAGGAAGAAGTCTGACCATCTGGTAGGTGGGCGGCCACACGGTCTCTTGACATCCCGTGGAATCCAATCAGTAACAGCTCTAGTCCAACGGTCGTCTTTAAATACTCATTACGTGACCAGCCCATCTGATTGTTGACAAGGACACCGATGCCTCCAACACCTCTTTTATCGCATGTTCCGAGGAACAATTCTTCTCCAGTGTCGAAAACGGCATGGTGAGATTCGTGCCTTCTTGTCTCAGTCAGACCAATGATGTCGTACTTGATCATTCGCGCTTGTACCATCAGGTCCTCGATGGATGCATCTGATGCTAGCGTACGTGCATTGAAAGTACAGACAATCATTTTTGTCTTCCTTCGTTGTGGCAGCCTAGGTCGGCCTTGAGATTTTGTCGGCCTCTCCTTTCTCATCCTTCTCAGTGCTGCCATGTCGGTGAAGCCTTCAGGGTCAGGTGAATGAGACCCTCTCGGAAAGACTGGCAAGCTACCGAGAGTATTCCGCCCACACGGAAGAGCCTGGCAAGCTATGCGCTGTGTATTCGATATGCCAAAACCAGTAACTACAACTGGTCTCATTCATTTATATATACCTAGGTCGAGAAATCAACATGATGAATGACCTGGCACCTGAGTTGTGCAGGAGGAAGAGAGCGGCTTGGAATGCCTTCAAGAACGTTGAAGAAATAACTAAAAGGACAAAGAACCTCCAGCTACGAGCACATCTCTTTGATTCCACTGTTCTTCCTGCATTAACATATGCCTCAGAGACCTGGACCCTACGAAAACAGGATGAGAACACTATTCGGGTCTCTCAAAGAGGAATCGAAAGAGCTATGCTTGGAATATCTCGATTCACTCAAATGAGAGATAGAATCCGGAGTTCTGATCTTCGTCAACACTCAAGAATCAGGGACGCTGTCTCATTTGCCAAGACATCAAAAATCAGATGGGCTGGACACGTAATGAGGTTTACAGACAACCGCTGGACTAGAGCCATTACTGATTGGATTCCACGGGACATCAAAAGATCACGTGGACGCCCACCTACAAGATGGTCAGACTTCTTCGTCAAGACCCTGAATGATTGGTTTGAGGCTCTGCATGTTCCTAGAACGAACAGATACCATTGGGCTACGCTAGCACGCAACCGGGATGAATGGAGATGTTACTGGCACCCGCTCGAGTAAATCGATGAATAACGGGGATTAAGTGATTAAGTGATGGTGCCACGAGCAGGTCAACCTGTACCTGCAGGGTGAGGGCATCAGCAGCCTGATTGTGCCTTCAGGCTTCCTGATACCCCCAAACTGCCACTGTGCTTTTTGGCTGGACTCCAAAAACTTGGGACTAAGTTTACCAAGAAATTAAATGGCCAAAAGTCAGGTGTGTGGGAACCACGCCCACAAATCACCTTTGGCTCAGCTATACAACTCACTTATTGGCCTTATTTCAGAAACCCATAAATAAATTGGAAGAGATCAAGAGCCACAATTAATCTCAGACCCATGCACGGCTGAACAGACCATAGTAAATCATAGGAGGGTGGGTTGACCCTGGTGCCAGCCCAAACAAAGCCCCCGGCAAATGTTTGCTTCCACAATCCAAAATCATTGCCATACCCCTGGCCTGACTCCACTGTCTCAAGACAGATCTCATCAAGATACAATCTGCTAAAAAATTGGGTATGCTCATTTTGTGACTAAAATCTCCAGGCTTTCTAGGAGTTGGGATGGGCTACCTCTCCCCACTTCCCAATACTCCTGGAAGCACTGGCAGTCACCCCCACGAACCAACTCCAAAGCCATGTAAGCTCTACTACTGGCCTTGCTTCAGAGACCCATAAATAAATCTCACAAGAGATCAAAAGCCACAGTTAATCTTGGACCTGCACAAGGCTGGACAGACTGGGTAAATAAGAGGGGGGCAGGTCAGCCTGGTACTCACCTAAACAGAGGCCCTGGCAGCTACTTGCTCCCACGGTCCAAAATTAACACCATGCCCCTAGCCTGATTCCACCATTTCACAATGGATCTCACAGAGACATAATCTGCTGAAAATTCTGTTATGCGGTTTTGTGACTTAAATCTCCAGGCTTTCTCAGGGTCGGAATGGGCTACCTCCCCCCAACTCCCTACCTCCTCCTACCTCCCTGTACTTCTGGAAGCTTCAGCAATCACATCTGTATCCCAAAGCTGCCACCCAATTGAAAAGCTCCTCCAGCTCGTCCCAATAAAAATACCGAATGCCCTGAGCAAACACCATGACCTCTTAGCACCTGTATTGCAAACCTTAATGCACAAAAGGAAAAGAAGAGAGAAAGCAAGAAAGTGCCTTCCATTGAGGGAGGCTGGAGGTGGGGGGGTGGGATGTTGGGGAATGGCGGTAAGGAAACAGGGGACCTTGGTGGTGGGACATGTACACTGGTGGAGGGATGGGTGCCAGATGATTGTATGACTGAAACTCAATTATGAACAGCTTTGTAATAGCCTATCTCATGGATATTCAATTAAAAATTTTTTTTGACATTTTGAAGGCCCATAAGAACCTGGTGCACTGCCTGGGTTTAACAGGTACTTACCAGATTGAGTAAATGCACAAAAATCAATTGTTTCTTCTACTAAACCTTATGTGCCTTGAGCCTAGGATCTTGTTTTTTGTTTTTGGGCCACATCCTGCAGTGCTCCCAGTGGGTGGTGCTGGAGACTTGGGGTGGGAGATTGGGGGACACTCTGGTGGGTTCTGAACCCCAGGTCTGCTCAGCGCCTTGAGCTCTCTCTCCCACCCAAGGTATGGACCATGGTGCAAATGCCATCTCCCAAGCATAACAGCCTTCTTACTGAATGATCTCTCTCTTATTGAGTGCTCTTGCACACACTCTTTCTCTCTCTAACATCTCCCGACTCGGGTACCCGAACCATTTGATCTAGTGGACGCCAGTGATCTGGAAAACTGCACGATGCCACCACCCACACTACAACAAGAGCGTCTAAGCAAAGAGACGAGAGACAGAAAAGCGAATTAACTATCTACCAAGGACGAGGCGCTTTATCTGAGCCACCTCATTTTCCAGGAAAATGAGCAAGAGCTTCGCGGGGCCCAAAGGCTGCTGCAGCTGAGGCCGCGGCGGGCAGCGAGCAGGCGCGCGGAGGGACCTGTCCATCCACACCTGCAGGCGGAAACCGGGAACCGGGAACCGAGACGGGCCCAGCTCACCTTGGTTTCTACGGTGGGTCCTTCCCTGTAGCCGACCCGCTCTTTGAAGCGGGCCAGGAAAGTCGGCTCGGCGGGCCGCACGTAGGACACTTGGTTCCGCTTGCTCATGGCCGCTCCGGGCATCCAGAGCCTTCAGGGGGAGTCGTCGCCTGAAGACGGCGCCGGGGCGCCGGGAGTGACGTCACGCAGCCCCGCCCCGCGCCGGGCAACATGGCGGCCCCCGTCCCGGCGTCAACGTTCCGCCGGGCGCCAAATTTAAATACGCGGCCATCTTGCTCGGAGCTGAAGCTCGGCGTCCCGCGCGTTCGGGCGGGCGTGTGGAGCCTCGGCTGAGCTGGACCCGGAGTCGGGCTGCTGGGACCGCCATGGCGCCGGGCTGCAAGAGTAAGTCAAGCGCCGCCGCCTCGTGAGGCGACGGGCTCCCCGCGAGCCCCGGGGGCGGGGGGGCGTTCGGCCGCCCGGCGCCGCCCCTCACGGCCCTGCAGATCGGGCCTGGTCGTGCGAGTGGGGGGGGCGGGGAACGGGGCGGCCGGCGGGGAGCACCCGGGGCTCCGGGTTTTAGGCGCTGGGGCTGCGCGGTGAACCGAGAGCTGGAGCCTCCGGCTGGCAGCGCCGTCCTGCCCCTCTGCGGGAGCGCGCTCCCGGTGCGCGCGACCACCCGCCGCGTCTGCAAGTTCTCTCCCTCTCCGGGGTCGGCCGGCCTGCCTGCCCGCCTGCCTTCCCTCCCTCCTTCCTTCCTTTCCTCCTTCCCTCTTCATTTCTTCTTCCTTCCTCTCTTCTTTTTTCCTTCCTTCCCTCCCTCCCTCCTTTCTTCCTCCCCTCTTTCCCTCCTTCCTTCCCTCCTCTCCCTTTCTCCTTCCTTCCTTCCTTCCTTCCTTCCTTCCTTCCTTCCTTCCTTCCTTCCTTCCTTCCTTCCTCTCTTCTTTTTTTCTTCCCTCCCTCCTTCCTTTCCTCCTTCCCTCTCTTCCTCCCTCCCCTCCCCTCCCCTCGTCGCAGAACGGGAGTCTGGCCGTGCTTCTCCCGGGCACACCTTCCGGGACCCCTTTGGCGGTCCGGTCCTTCGGTGGGTCATTCTCTGGACCCTGCACTGTGCTCGCTGGCCGTCCCTCTAGAAGGCGCCTATTGCCCCCCCCCCCCCACCCCGTCTTCTGTTCTCTGGGTATAATGAGCTGGGGGCGCAGACCCGAACATTCCAGGGCCGAAATGTTTGTTGTGCTCTGGGCATCGCCACTAGTAAGGGTCGGGCAGATTTGGGGCTTAAAGCAAAGGAATTGAGATCTGGCTGTGATCTGAGCGTCTGTTTACTTCGCCCTGCAGCCCGCCCCCTTTGAAGCTCCTGTGGGCTGGGCTTCCTTGGAGCCCTGGAACTGGAGGGCAAGGGGCCCTGATAGTTCTGTACTCAGTGTCCCACTGTGCTATGCTGCTGTGCGGTCTTTTCTTTTTTCTTTTTTCTTTTTCTTTTTCTTTCTCTTCTCTTCTTCCCTTTTCCTGTGGTAGGTGAGGGGTGGGGTTGGGCCACAGCCTGTGATGTTCAGCGTTTTTCTGTCTCTGTGCCTCAGGGATTGAACCCTGGTCCGCTTCGTGCAAGGCAAGAGCCTTTCCATTGCTCTGCTCCCAAGGGAACTTGTTATGTAAACAGTACTCTCGCCTGGAGCCTGGGGCTGGCTGAGCCCTCACAGCCAGGGAAGAAATCCTGCAGAAAGGAGCAGAGGGAGGGGACCATTCTGTGATCATAGTTGATCAGCCCAACTCCTGACACAGAGAGCTGTCTACCACGGGAGCTCCAGCTCCTGCTGCTGGAAGCAGAGAGCGATCTTGGTTCAGATGCAACAGACTCCTCTTCTGAAAATTCCTAGATTTCTGTTGAAGAGACCTTTCTTCATGGCTCTTTACCTATGGAGCACCTAAAGTTGATGTGTAATAGTTTTAAAAATGTCAACAGTTTCAGTTATTGGGGGTGGGTGGCAGCCTTGGAGTCACACTTGCGAGTCTTGCCAAAAGGTTGAAACGGTGACACTGTCCTTAACTAAAATAGAGAAGCACATTTGCAGTGGAGGGGGGGGGGATCAGAAGCTGGTTTTGGGTGCCTTCAAGTAGAAGCATTGCTTATTGGCCATCTAACTTGGAGAGGACAAGTAGGCAATTTTTAAGAGCCTAGGGCTCATTTAGGAGAACTTTAGAGGGCAAAGGTATCAACTTGGGTATCCTCAGTGTATAAAAAGTATTTAAGACTTTGTATTAAATGCTTTGTAATTACAAAGTACTTAATACAAAGCATTAGAAGGGATGTCGTCCCCATGGAGCATGTAAGGATGGAAGAGAGGGACAGACCCAGGCTTGGATCCTACAGGTGCTCAACTGTCAGAGCTCAGCTGAGGAGACCGAGAGACTGAGAAGCTGGCCACTTGGGCATGGGGTTGATGGACTTCACTTTGAAGCACATTAAGTGACTTCTTGTCTTTCCCCCCCCCCACCCCCAGCTGAATTACGCAGTGCTGCAAATGGCCAATTGAACCAAGCAAGGTAAGTAAATACCTTTTGGTGACATAAAGGATCAGAATAGCAATGTTTCTAAATTATTAGCCATCGTCAGCATGACTATATTGGTATTTTTATTAAAGCTTGGTTCTTCACTACTTGGTAATCTGCAGAGGGTGGGTGGGTGGGGGGAGTCACATTCTCCCACATCACCCAAGCAGTATCATCTCCCATTTCTGACGAAAAGATGGAATCAATAACGTAAGTCACCCTTGGGATGATTTACTATTACTAAGAGGGAAGTCATCTGTGATAAGTCTCAAAGCAGGGATTAAAGCACTACCATCGAGTGCACTTCAGATGGCTCTTGTGAAACAAAGTAATAAAGGGTGGGAGTCATGTGAGATTCATTTATTTTTACGTATTTTTTTTTTTTTTGCAAAGCAAGAAAGTTTTTTATTGAAAGTAGAAAGATGCAAAGGAAGAGAAAGGGAGAAGTATTTGTTCTAGAGAGAACATAGGCTTCTCCTGGGTGAAAATAAGCAAGCAAAGAAGCATAGAGACAAGCAACGGAAATAACATATTCAACAGAGAACAGGTTTGAAGAGCGAGCCCATGTGAGATTCATTCAAAGAGGGAAATGTTAGGGCTGGGGATGTGACTCAGTAGTAAAGCACTTGCCCTGCAGGTGTGAGACCCCCCTGGGTTTGATCGGCAGCACAGCCCACACAAACAAAACACTATAAAAGATATTAATTATATTATATAATTAATTATTAATTCGTGGATCTTGGGGGGGAAAAGTAAAGACCTATGAGGGCTGGAGAGATAGTATAGTGGTAGGGTTCTTGCCTTGCATACAATAGACTGGGAGTTTCATCCCCCCGCCCTCCATCACATAAGGTACCTTGCATCTTTTTTTAAATATATACATATATCTATCTTTAGCAATGAAGGTGATGATGCCATCAGAGTTTTTGTACGGATTCGTCCGCCCAAAGAGAGCTCCGGACCGGCTGATGGAGAGCAAAACTTATGCTTATCCGCGCTCTCGTCTACGACTCTCCGGCTACACTCTAACCCTGAGCCTAAGGTCTTCACCTTTGATCATGTTGCAGACATAGGCACTACTCAGGTATGATCATTTAGAAACTTGAACTTCCTACTTGAGACATGGAATCTCTTATTTGTGAAGATTTCTTTTTTCCTTTTTGGGGGGGCTGAGATGCTTGGGTTACTCCTGGCTCCGCACTCAGGGATCATTCCATCTGATGGTCTTGGGGGACCATATGGGGTGCCAGAGATTGAACCCGGATTGGCCATGCGTAAGGCAAGTGCCCTCCCTGCTGTGCTGTTGCTCTGGCCCTGAATATTTTCTTTCTGATCTCTCATTTGAATTTGGAAGTTCAGACATTTCCCAAATACTTGAAATTTAGTTGTAAGTGTTTTTCTTCATCAAATTGTGTAGCAGAATGCCATAAGCCTGCTTTGTGTATTTTCTCTATTTAGTGATAAGGGTATTGAAGGTCAGCTTTTCAGAGCCACTTCAGTGTTTGATAAGTACATTTCAATTACCTGGTTTAAGAAATGTTTTTTAGGGGCCGGAGCTTTAGAACAGCAGGGAGGTGATTTCTTTTGCATGCAGTTGACCCAGGCTTCATCCCCAGCATCTCATGGTCAGGAGTAATTCCTGAGCACTGCCAGGTGTGGGACCCCCCCCAAAAAAAAAAGAAAAAAGAAATGTCTCTTAGTTTTGGCTGCTATAACAAAAATATCATAGACTTAAGCAACATTTATCTGTTGTAAATGAGTTTGTAGATGGTTCATTTGGAGTCTTTGACAGTCCAAGATCAAGTCAGTAGGTTGGGTCCATGAGAGTATGTTTCCTGGCTTGTAAAAATCTATCTTCTTGCTGTGTCCTCACATGGATAAGAGAGAAAGCAAGTTCTCTTACATCCCCCTTCTCTTAAGTGTACTGCTCCCACCTTGAGGCCTCCACACTCAGCATTGAATAACCTTGGCCATGCTCCCTCTTCAAATAACTTCACTTTGGAAATGAGGCTTTCAACATGTGAATTTTGGGGGAGAGTAGTCACTTAGCAGAGAGATACATAGATTACTCTGGTTTCAATAACTGCTCTTTTATTAAGGACTGTTTAGTTAAAATCTAATTCTGTAGCACTGTCGTCCCGTTGTTTATCAATTTGCTCAAGCAACACCAGTAACGTCTCCATTGTGAGCCTTGTTGTTACTGTGTTTGGCATATTGAATATGTCACGGGGAGCTTGCCAGGCTCTGCCTTGAGGGCGGGATACTCTTGGTAGCTTACCGGGCTCTCTGAGAGGGACGGAGGAATCGAACCTGGGTCGGCCACGTGCAAGGTAAACGCCCTATTAGCCAATAGAATTTGACAGTGAGGAAATTTCCTTTATGCACATTCCCGGCTACAATAGCTCCTAGCCTCATGTGATTATTTAATAGTAAATCAAATTTGGAACTTAGTTTTCTCAAATGCATGACCTGTATGTAGCTGTTGAGCGCAGGAATTGTGGCTGAGTACATGACATAAGTTTTCGTTGCTTGTTCTTGTTTTTATTTGGGGGACACACCAGACTGTGCAGGATTGCTCCTTGGTGGGGCTCGAACGTGGCC